TTTGCCTCTGCAAGCAGTCCACGGATGAAAGGTATTTTGTTTTTGTTGCTGGGGTTTAGACCTGTATATTTTGCAAGAGAATTTTTTCGGACTGGTTTTGTGGTACGGGGGGATTTTTTTCCGGATTAGTATCGGGATTGTTGGTTTGGGTGGAGGCCAACGACTGTGGTTCCACCCAGGAATGACTGGATTTGGTTGTAAGGGTTTCTGCCATTTGCCAGTTTTTTTTCCTTCCTGGCACTAAAAAACTCTCCTTAGCATTAAGAGACCATACAATGAGTGAAAAGGGCCCGAAGTCAACTGCCTCAGCATACATAAGCTGGATTACCCAAAAGACCCCTGGCAGTCTTCAGCTGGCACTGGACAAGCACCCAATAGTACTGACCAGCGGGTTTGGCTCACACACTGGATTTTCGTGCGGCCCGCAGTACAATCTGGTTTATCAGGCCCTGATCCACCATGAGACCTGGTCACAGACCAGGCCGCAGGGGCGTTGACCCCTGGAACTCTCTCCAGGTATACTCCAGATTTGGCTGTTATTTGAGTCCATCTTGATTCACTTGTCCCACGAATTATATGGTCTAGTAATTCTTTAGACACCATTGTTTTGATCACCAGGTAGCAAGTCCAGTCCTATCATCACACTGATTTTACGTATTCTGTCAGATACACTAAGTATACCTAATTCTTTCATCATATTTTGGTGGTTATAGGACAGCCCAGAATAAGTCTCAGGGCTTCATTTTGTGTTTTTTTTCAAATCTTACAATGGTTCTAATGTGTTGCGGAGCTAAAACTGGCGCATGGTAATTGTCAAAGATCTTTTATATTCTATGTACCCCATTTTTATTCAATTCTAACATTTGAACCATGTATAGATTATACGCTATAACAGTTCTGGGAGCTTTAAGTCTATCATTATATTGTTGGTTCATTGTATTCAGAGCTATTAATGTATATGGAACACTAATACCAGTTCATTCGGGGCCAGGAGCTAGGAATCGACCCCTGCAACCTCAACTAGGTGAGTACACGGCTGCTCCTGAGTGTTTTGGTCGGGGCGCCATGCAGGAGCTCTTTTTAGGACTATGAAAAGCCTGTTGTTGTTGAGCAGGTGGAGGCGTGAGTTAGTGGATGAGAGTAATAATAATAATAATAATAATAATAATAATAATAATAATAATAATAATAATAATAATAATAATAATAATAATATCTTTATTTACTACCAGTACATGTACAAGGTATACAGACCAAACTGAAAGTGACGTACCTTGAAACCGCTGTGGTTTGCTCGAGCATTTCCCAAATAGGGTTCAGACCCTGGATCCACCACACCTGGTCCAACGACCCGGGAGTGACCCAACACCTCCATAAACCCAGGCCCCACACCAGTACCAACTAACACCCCGGTACCAGTTTTAATTGTAGACACGGTGAAAAAACAGTTACACATATTTACGTGCTAATCGAACAGAGCACTGGAAGGCCCTGTGGTTGCTCTCGCCACACGTAGGGCTGGGTTCGTTCCCAGCTGCGGTAGCATAACAGGCGGTTTTTCATCCCTGGTCTCATGAGTCCGTCATCAGATGGGTACGCGGGTGTTGACACCGAACCTTCGGGTCGCAGGCCTGGGACCAACTTAGACCACAGGCACCTGGTATAGGTACGGGCCGCAGTTGACATATTAGCGGAATTATCAGTAACAGGTGACATGTGTAAATTACTTAGGATAACCAACAAAAGTCAGACAACGTGACTTATTTCCACTGGTCCCTTTTAATATCATTATTTAAAACCTTCCAGTAAGACACAGTAGAAGTCAGTCATGATTATAATCTTAAAAATTAGAACAGATAAGTAACTCAACTATGAAAATCAGTTACAGTAGAAGGAGGCACAATAGGAAGAAAATGAAGTGTTATTTACATGAATAATAAATATAAAGGAACAACTTACAATACTTGGTACACTAATGTTAACTATACAAGAAATCACTTTTCCTTTTTTTTGCACGAACAGTTTTACAGGCTAAGAGCTGTTATCCTACCTCAGCTCATATCAAAGCTTCATTTATTTGGTACCTTTCAGCGCTCCTCCTGAACAGGATGGATATGGGGTGTAGATGAATGGTTCCCTAATTCTTGGGCACGACCTACTTCAACATTGAACAAATGTTACACGACCTATGACCGCTGCACCTCTCCTGCCAACGGTTTATAAGCTCCTTCTCAGCACGTATGCCGTATTCTATTCAAGATTGATGGACTGACCACATCGACTCAAGGTTGAGGGACTGATTACCTCATTCTCCTCCTGTTCTTCAAGATTCTCCTTTGTATGGACTGATGAAGCCACTGTGTGGCGAAACGTTTCCTCAATAAAGATACCCAAGAGTTGCACATGTGTCTAATTTATCAACATGGATATGGGGTGCACAATAAACTAGCCACTTCGGTGGCAAAATCTAAATCCTCCTGAACTGATTCATGCTATGACAGGCTTTGACATGTTAAGGCAATCCGTTCCATTCCTTTATTGCTGTATAATAAAAGGTGTTTGAAGCCTGACCACCTACTGTAGGTACTACAAAATTGTGTTCCCTTCCCCTAGTACCACACTGGTCTTGGTTCCTAACCTTGACAAACTCACCAGCAAATAATTCAATCACCGCATGTTTACCTGGAGTTTACCTGGAGAGAGTTCCGGGGGTCAACGCCCCCGCGGCCCGTGATCACTTTTATAAATATGATTCACCTTCAATTGCTTTATTCTGTCTTCAACAACTCCTCATCTTTCTATGGAGGAGCCTTAATTTCCTCTTCTCTTGCAGCCCATAGGTAATTTACACTATTTATGATAATTGTACTTATGTGTACCTATGCCTAAATAAACTTACATAACTTCCCGTAGCTGGGTTGGTAGTGCACTCAGCTCACACACTGAGGTTCGTGGTTCGATCCCCGGTACGGGTGGAAACATTAGGACGTGTTTCCGTAAGACACCTGCTGTCCCTGTTCACCTAGCAATAAATAGGTACCTGTGGGTTAGTTACCTTACACCTGCTGTCCCTGTTCATCTAGCAGTAAATATGTACCTGGGTGTTAGTTACCTTACACCTGCTGTCCTTGTTCATCTAGCAGTAAATAGGTACCTGGGTGCTAGTTGCCTTACACCTGCTGTCCCTGTTCATCTAGCAGTAAATAGGTACCTGGGTGTTAGTTACCCTACACCTGCTGTCCCTGTTCGTCTAGCAGTAAATAGGTACCTGAGTGTTAGTCACCTTACACCTGCTGTTCCTGTTGTTTGTTGGGTTTATCAGGGCCACCCGTTGCCACTGTTCACATGGCAGTAAATAGGTACCTGGGTGTTAGCCGACTGGTGTGGGTCGCATCCTAGTAAGTTTATTCAGGGATACACAAATACAGTTACATATATTATTATACATAGCAACATATGTGTAGAGAACCTGGGATAACACAAAAAAGTCAGAGTGACTTATTTCCATTGGGGTCCTTTTAATATCTTATTATTATACTATAAAGGAGATAATATCTTATTATTATACTATAAAGGAGATAATATTTTATTATACTATAAAAGAGATATACTAGGAATAAGGCAAAATGATTATTTATATTTATGTGTGTTAGCTAGAAATATAAAGAAAATCATTCCCTTCCCTTTCTGTTGCTACATTCATTAGGTACCTTTTGGTTCTCGTTTTGCTATGACTGGCTTTGACATGTGCAGGTAGTCTGTTCCATTCCTTTATTGCTGTACAATAAAAGGTGTTTGAAGCCTGGCCACTGACTGTGGCTACTACAAAGTTGTGCTCTCTCCCCCTAGTACTATGATTACTTTGGTTCCCAACCTTGACAAAATTGACAGCAAGATATTCTGGACACTGTTTGTGAGCAATTTTATAAACGTGATTTAACTTTAGTTGTTTTACTCTGTCTTCAACATTCAGCATATACAGTTGTAATTCATCCTGGCCTACATGTTCTCTTGGTCCAAGGTCCAGGATGAATCTTACCATTTTGTTCTGGGTGATTTGCAGTTTATCTTTCAGTTATTTTGTCAAGGCAGAGTACCATGAAGATCAAGCGTAGTCCATATAACAGTGTATAAGAGGTAGACATAGTGTCCTGCGAGCCTCAGTAGGTAGACACTGTGCTTGTCTGTACAAGAACTTCTGTTCTTGTACATTCACTTTCTTTACTACACTGTTCCCTATCAGTTCTCCTGACATGCATGGGTCAGAGGGGATTCCCAGATATTTTACTTAGGAAACTGAAGTAATGGGCTCCCCATTACACTGGACATTAAAATTATTTACCCTTCTCAGTTTATGTTTGGTGCCAAAGAGAATGGCTTCAGTTTTCCCGAGGTGTAATGATAGTATGTTGTCTACTAACCATAATTAATAAAAAGGCACAGTACCGTGACTGGAACGATACACAAATAACCCGCACATAAAAGAGAGAAGCTTACGACTACGTTTCGGTCCGACTTGGACCATTGACAAAGTCAAGTGTGACTTTGTCAATGGTCCAAGTCGGACCGAAACGTCGTCGTAAGCTTCTCTCTTTTATGTGCGGGTTATTTGTGTATTGTCTACTAACCATTTGCTGGATTATTATTATAATCAAGGGGGGAAGCGCTAAACCCAGAGGATTATACAGCGCCTGGGGGGGGGGGATGTGGAAGGCATTCAGGCTTAATTCGGGGAACTGGAGCACAGATCCAATTCCCTAAATCAAGAGCCCCTCACCAACATCAAGGAACCTTCCTTGAGGGGTCCATTTGCTGGAGACAAAATTAACTTAACTTGCTCGAAATACTCCACATAACCAGGGACTTTCTATATATTATGTCACTGATGTCAGCTATGGTCTATATAAGTTGTATCATGTACTTGTAGAAATAAATATTATTATTAAAATATGCTATTATGGGTAATATATATATTTCCCGGATTCCCGGGAGGAAGGGTTCAATAAAGCAAAGGTTTTGATGGCCCTCAAAACCACCATCAACAATAACACTTGTGTGGGAAACTCGTCATGATGGCTGTGTAATACTCAAGTTAAGTACGTTTATTCAGGTACACATAAATACTGTTACATAGATTGTCATACATAGCAGCATATTTGTAGATTACCCAGGATAACCCAAAAAAAGTCAAGACAAAAATGACTTTTCCATTGGGGTCTGGTATTTCTACTGGGGGTCTGTATTTTCATTGGGGTCCTTGTATTTCCATTGGGGTCTTTGTATTTCTACTGGGGGTCCTTGTATTTCATTTGAGGTCTTTGGTATTTCCATTGGGGCCCTTGTATTTCAATTGAGGTTCTTGGTATTTCAATTGTGGTCCTTGTATTTCAATTGAGGTTCTTGGTATTTCCATTGTGGTCCTTGTATTTCAATTGAGGTTCTTGGTATTTCCATTGTGGTCCTTGTATTTCAATTGAGGTTCTTGGTATTTCCATTGTGGTCCTTGTATTTCAATTGAGGTTCTTGGTATTTCCATTGTGGTCCTTGTATTTCAATTGAGGTTCTTGGTATTTCCATTGGGGTCCTTGGTATTTCTGTTGGGGTCCTTGGTATTTCTGTTGGTGCCCTTGGTATTTCCATTGTGGTCCTTGTATTTCAATTGAGGTTCTTGGTATTTCCATTGGGGTCCTTGGTATTTCCATTGGGGTCCTTGGTATTTCCATTAGGTCCTTGGTATTTCCATTGTGGTCCTTGTATTTCAATTGAGGTTCTTGGTATTTCCATTGGGGTCCTTGGTATTTCCATTGGGTCCTTGGTATTTCCATTGGTCCTTGTATTTCATTGGGTCCTTGGTATTTCCATTGGGTCCTTGGTATTTCCATTGGGGTCCTTGGTATTTCCATTGGGGTCCTTGGTATTTCCAGTAGGGTCCTTGGTATTTCCATTGGGGTCTTGCTTGTCTATGAAACTACTACAATACTGAGAATACTTTTTAATGTAAAGAGTGCGAAATATGTATATATTTTTTGTTTCACTTGTCTAACTGATGGGTTGGGTTAGGTAATTTACACTGTACAGTGGAACCTCACTATACGACCAGCTCCCTACTCGAACAAAGCTCAGCACTCGACCAAACAAATACGACCAGCCAGTACTTTGCTGCAAACTATTTCATTTATCTTCACATTTTTTGGTGTTTTTTGTATTATTTGTATAAATAAGTCACCATGGGGTCTACGACAATTAGTGATAACAGCCAACCAAACAGAAAATTGATTGGAAAGAACTTGTTCGATACTCAAACGGAGCAGCACTCGAACAGCCTTCTGGAATGAATTAAGGTTGCATACCAAGGTTCCACTGTGTATGATAGTTGTATTTATGTGTACCTGTGCTTAAATAAACTTAGTAAGTTTCTTTAGGTACAAGTACACATATTATCATGCATAGTAACATGTGTATAAATCACCTAGGATAACCCAAAAAAAAGTCAGACAAATTGACTTACTAAAATTCTTGTGGGGAGTTTCACTTATTACCAAATGTTTTAAGATTATTTAGCCCTCATTTGTGATTTTAAACTTACAATGGTTTTATAGTAGTAAATTATGTAGAATTCAATCTTTGTTAACGCATATATAACGAATCAAACCTAGGATTACTTACTAAAGTCAATGATCTTTTTAATCCATTAAACTTGGATTGTTTTTACTGTGTTTCACTTCATCAACATTTTCACTTACATGTTTAGTTTTTAAAATTTTTGGAGACACATATCCTCTGCTCATTTTGGCCATAATTAAGGTCACTTTATAGTTTTTCCTATTAGGTGAAAGGACACAAGTGCAGCTAATGTGACATTTTTATTGTGGCAATGTTTCACTCTCCAGGAGCTTTGTCAAGGCATTACTAAGCTCCTGGAGAGCAAAACGTTGCCACAGTAAAAATGTCGCATTAGTTGCACTTGTGTCCTTTTACCTAACATATTGTAGGTAATTCTACCAACATTATTATGTAGCTTTTTCTGTAGTATGTCTAACACTCTCTCAGCATTTAAACAAGCATGGTTTTAGGCCAAGTCCGTTTAGGTACAGGTGCACATGAGCATTCATCATGGTCATCCACCAACAGAGGATCAAACTCCATTCCCTTGGCATTAACAGCCGATGGAAGTGGATGGATCATGAATCCTTGATTAAGAACCTATCATCATGCATCTGAACTGATTATGAGAAACAAGCACTGAATCTAGGACTCAAATTTACCATAAACTTATGCAAACCAAACCACCAGCTGGACTTAGTCACCAGAAACCACAGACACAGTGACAACAACTTCCAGAAAGGTTACATTTAGATCATACTCACCACAGCCCTGTGTGAGCCTTCCACTGCCAATCTTCCCAGATGGTATATCACTGCCCTTCAGGACCAGGCCAAGGACCTTGGAATTATCATCACTTCAGCCAACAAAGGAAACAGAGCTGTCATTCTCGCCACAATAAAATGTCACATTAGTTGCACATGCCCTTTTACTTAACATATTGTTGGTAATTCCATCTTTATTAATACTAATTTATAGACTGATACCAATACCAGTACTTTAGCACATCCCTAATAGAAATTATCCCAGTTGTCAATGATTGGTACTGCAAGTGCTGCAAGTTCCTTGCAGTACTTGTCTAGCTTGAACCTGTAGCTCAATTGATGGCACATTCAAATTATACATTGAGGGCTGTGGTTTGATCCCTAGTATGGGTGGAAACTTTTGGGCATGTTTCCTTAAGACATCTGCTGTTCCTGTTCACCAAGCAGTAACTTCATACATAAGTGTTAGCTGGCTGGTGTGGGTTGCATCTTGGGGAAAAAATTAACCAGATTTGCCTGAAATGCTCTGCATAACCAAGGGCTTACTATATAGTATGTCATTGATGTCAGCTAGGTCTGTATACATTGTATTATGTACTTTTAGAAATAGATTATTATTATTACATATTATTATTATTATTTTTATTTACACCAATTGCCATAAATATCCAGTCACTATGTAATCCTCTTCTAAGTGGAATGCTTCATGTGATCAGAATCCCTTCCCTTGACCGAATTTGATCAATAGCTGCTTTGTACTTGGCCAGCAGCTCCTCTCTGATGTATTTCCCAATATCATTGCTTCCAGCACTGTGATATATAATGGGGTTGTTCCCATTAGCTGACCTGGTGTTAAATAACCAATTAACTTTGTCACCCATACCAACTTCAAGGAAATGCTCTGTCTTGCCTTCTTATTCCTGAGACAAATTGCTGTGTCCATGTATCCAAGTGAGAATCTCTGACAGTGGGCATGTCCATTTTTTTTTTACGTGTTGAGGCATTTGTTGTATCAGTCTCCTTGTCAACAACCAAACACTCATCCTGAAGAACAGTAAAGCAAATAATGAACAGAAAGTGAAAACCACTCTCCATTCATTGCAACGACAGGTTTCCTTTTGTTACTGTCAACAACTTGCCATTCCTTATTACACCTTTCTTATTCAAATAAGATTTTAAATTTTCTTTGTCCTCTCTGAGAACTAGGCCCTTATCTTCTATAACTTTTAAGTCTTGCTTTAAAAACTCAACAACACTTTAAAGTTTATTAAATAAGTCACTGTTAGCAAGCACTCCACTCAAGATACATTGAGAAAATTGACCGCCTCAAGACAGTTCCACACAACTTACCTGACCACTGATCTAAGCCTTAATATTGCATTGTCAGGCAAAATGAAACTTTTCCCTACCTATCCTAGCCTTGTTTGTTTCATATTACTATTTATTAAAAGTCTAGATAGTTAATATCACATGTACATACAGTGGTACCTCGAGTTTCGAACAGCTCCCAACTCGATCAATTGTGTAAGTGTAATTTTGTAAGTGCTTTTGTAAGTGTATTTTTGGGGGTCTGAAACGAGCTAATCAAATTTACATAATTCCTTATGGGAACAAATTCATTTGGTATCGGCACTTGAACAGCCTTCAGGAACGAATTAAGTTCGTTACTCGAGGTACCACTGTAGTTAATATAATACATTTGTCAGATTCACTAGCAGAGATGACTGTGTTTTCTGTTATTTTCCTCCTTTTCAACCATTATTACTGATCTCAAAGATAGGGGCTGAACCTTTTCAAAACCTTCCAATCTACTCTATAAAGGGAATTACCATCCAGATCTCTAGTGGTCTTCAAGAGGGAACTGGCATTTTAGTTCCTGATCAGCTAGGCTGTAGTGGTTATGTTATTAATAATAATAATAATAATAATAATAATAATAATAATAATAATAATAATAATAATAATAATAATAGTCTTTATTTCTACAAGTACATGATACAACCTGTGCAGAGCATTTCGGGCAATTTTAGGTTAATGTTGTCCTTGGGATTCGACCCACATCAGTCAACTAACACTCAGGTACCTACTTACTGCTAGGTGAACTGGAACAGGATACATGCCCTAATGTTTTTCTACCTGTATTGGGGATCGAACCACAGACCTCAGTGTGTGAGCTGAGTGCACTACCAACCCAGCTAATAGCAATAACAGCCTTATTAATCAGGCTATCAACAAAGAGGGTCTGGTCAGGAATCAGGTCACAGGGCAATGAATCTTGTCAGTGCCTACAGATTAATGTGCAGGTAAAGTGTTATTTCAAAGCATGGTTTGATCCATGGCAGCCTACCATTTCTAGGCTGTAACTCACAGTGATGTACAAGGTGTACAATGGCAACAGGTGTAAGGAGACTTGCTTATATATATCATGTCCATCCTGGAATCAAACCTGGGTCTGTTTAGTTGTGAGCTGAGCTCTCTTAGTTACAAAATGAAGTTTTGGCTGTGTAATTTGTGGTAAGTTATCAAGTACGTATATTTAAATATATTATGTGAAAAAAGAAATGTTTTTAGTACTTAAGAAATTTTCTTTTTTCTTCAGATTAGTATAATTAGTCATGGAACGAATTAGTCGACCAGTGCTCAGCATGTTGCTGGGTCGTGGTACTGCTGCTTCTCTTCGGATATGCAGAGTACCCAGCTTCCCATCTTGTAGATCCCAGTCACAGGTACTCTTCAAAGACCATTATACAGTTTTTTTTGATCATCTTTGATGTGTATATATTTTATTTCCCTGATGGTCACCATCTCAAGGATGGTGTTGTCAGTCTCTGCTGTCTCCCACCAAGGCAGGGTGACCCGAAAAAGAAGAAAACTATGAAATTTTTCTTCTTTTTACATTTAGTAATAAGTTCTTATTTATACTCTTCAATTTTTTTCATACTACCTCAGACAAAAATTGATGAAAAGGTACTCTACTGTATAATATAGTATTGTGCTCTTGTGATATTGGTAATATTTGGCAGTAATAAAGTTCATGCATTCTCTCCTTCAGAAAATGTTTATGACGTGTGTGCCTTTGAAAAAAGTTGTTATTCAAAGATGTTCACACACATTAAATACAGCAGCTGCGTGGAAGAGCCTGAGTCATGAGTTTACTGCAGTTACTAAACTTCTAGAGAGGTAAAATTTGCTTCTGTTAACACTGACTGAAAATTTAAAATAATTATCTTTTGGATATTTTTAATTTCAGAGTTGTTAAATTTCTCAAGAAGAGTTGAAGATCACTTAAAAATCTATTATGTCTTAACTCTTTCAGGGTTTCCGATGTACTAGTACAGCTTACGCACCAGGGTTATTGACGTATACTAGTACGCATAAATTCTAGTGCCTTCAAATCTAGTGAGAGAAAGCTGGTAGGCCTACATATGAAAGAATTTGTCTGTGGTCAGTGTGCACAGTATAAAAAAATGCTGCAGCACACAGTGCATAATGAGAAAAAAAACTTTGTGTTTTGGGTTTTAAACAGCAGCTTTGCACTGTATTTTTGTATAGTATTTATGGTTGTATTCTAGTTTTCCTGGTCTCATTTTATAGAACGGAAAACATATTACTGAAATTGAGATGATTTTGATTGGTTTCACAATGAAAAGTACCTTGAAATTAAGCTCAAATTACCAGAAATGTTCGATTTTTGCCGAAGTTCAAAAGTAAACAAATCATGTCACGTGTCCAATACACATCAACTGGTGAGTCTAATATTCTTTCACAAGTGTGCTGATATTATTTATACCATTTTTACACTAATGCAGTAGCCTGCATAACAGTAAATCATCTATTTTTTGTGAGAATAAAAATTCATAGTGGAAAGCAAAAGAAATGTAAGAGGGGCCTGGGGACATGACTAATGAACAGAGAAATGTTATTTTAGTGCCAGGAATGTCTGTCTTGTTTACTGTGGACCCTGTTTGGAAACTGGCATCTTTTGAAATTTGTGTGAAATTGGCAAAATTGCTAATTTCTGACCACTTTATTAGATAGTTGAAATCGGTAAATGGGTGGTTTCTTGTACTCATTCAATAGAAAAAATGGAGTTATGATTTTTATCGACTGGTACACTGGAATTGGTCGAAAATAGAGCTCAAAATGGGCGAAATCGCCGATGCATAAACATCATCGAGACCGCTAACTTTGCGAGAGCATAATTCCGTAAGTTTTCCATCAAATTTCATACTTTTGGTGTCATTATAATTGGGAAAAGATTCTCTATCATTTCATAAGAAAAAATAATTTTTTTCTTAAAAATTTTCGACCCTGAGAACAAGTTTCGGAGAGGACCTCTTGACCCTGAAAGGGTTAATGAAAAGTTTTTGTACTCTCCTGTATACTAATCTAATCTATTAGTTCTTAAAACTTTAAAGTTCAATTTGTGAGATACAGTCTTAAGATCATTTTGCATAATTTGTTATTGATCTCTTCAGGATAATTCTACTGTCAGGATTTTAATACAGGTACAACATCGATTTTCCGGACATTGATGGTCCAGAACCATACAAACGTATGAGCAGGAACTTGAAATTCCTGTGACACTGCATTTACCGCCAAACTGTATGTCACTTATCCAACCCCAAGACTAAAGAATATTGCACTCTCTAAAGGCAGAAAAAACAGTGATCCGGAATTACTTTGGAACCAAAGGTCTGGAAAATTGATGTACCTGTACTGTATCTTTGGAAAAGTACATCAGATAGAAGATTACACACACACACCACACACACACACACACACCACACACAACCACACACACAAAACCACACACACACCACACCCCACCCAAAAACACACACACACCCCCACACAAACACACCACACACACACCACCACACACACCACACACACAACCACAACACACCCCACACCACCAAAAACACACCACAACACACACAACCACACACACACCACACACACAAAACACCACACACACACCACACACACACCACCCCACACCCCACACACACACCACACACACACCACACACACACCACACACACACCACACACACCCCAAACACACACCACACACACACCACACACACACCACACACACCCCCCACACACACACCACACACACACCCACCACACCCCACCACACACACACCCACACACACCCCCACACCCCCACCACACACACAAAACACCACACCACACCACACACACACCACACACACCACACACACACCCAAAACACACACACACCACCACACACACACCACACACACCACAAAACCCCCAAACACACCACAAAACACACCACACACACACCACACACCCACACACACCACACACACCACACACACACACACACCACACCACACCCCCACAACACAACCACAACCCCACAACCCCACACACACCACACACACACACCACACACACACCACACCCCACACCACACAAAACAACCACACACACCACAACACACACACCCACACACACCCCCACCACCCCACACACACACACCCCACACACACCACACACAACACACAACACACCACAACACACACCACACACACACACCACACACACACACACCACACACACACAAAACACCACACACCCCACCACACACACACCACACACACACACCACACACACACACCACACACACACCCCCACACAACACACCAAACACACACCCCACACACACACACACAAACACACACACCCCACACACACACCACACACCACACCACACACACACACACACCCCACACACACACCACACACACACACCACACACCACACACACACCCACACACACACACACACACCACCCCCCACACACCACACACACACACACACCCCACACACCACACACACCCCACACACACACACACACACACACAAAACACACCCCACACACACACCACACACACACACAAAAACACACACACACCCACACACAACCCCACACCACAACACACACACACACCACACAAAACACACACACACCACACACACACACACCACACACACACCCCACAAACCCACCCCAACACACGACCACACACCCCACACACCACACACAAAAACACACACACACAAAAACCCCACACACCCCACACCACAAAACACACCACCCCACACACAAAAACCACAACCACACCCCCACACACACCCCACACACACCACACACACACCACACCCCAAAAACACACACACACAAAACCACACACACACCACACAACACCACACCCACCACACACACACCAACAAAAACACCACACCACACACCACACACACACCACACACACAACACCACACACAAAACAACACACCCCACAACACACCACACACAAAACCCCCACACACACCAAAACAACCACACACACACCACACACACACAACAACACACACACCACACACACACACCCCCCACCCCACCACACACACCACCACACACAAAACCCACACACACACACCCACACAACCCCCCACACACACCACACACACCACACACACACCACACACACACACACACACACACCAAACCCCACCCCACACACACACCACCCACACACCCAAAAACACACACCCACACACACACCACAACACACACCACACACCACACACCACCCACACACACACCACACACACACACCAACACCCACACACACACACAAAACCCCACACACACACACACACCACACCCACACACCCACACACACACACCCAACCCCAAACCCACACACCCCACAAAAACACACACCCCAAAACCCCAAAACACACACACACACACCCCAAAACCCAACAACACACAACCCACACCCCACCACACACCCCACACACCAAACACACAACACACACACAAAAACACACACAACACACACACACACACACACACACACACACAACACACACACACACCACACACCACACCCCACACACACACCCCACCACCCCACCCAAACACAACCCCCACACACCACCAACACACACACACACCACACACACACACAAACACACACCACCACACACCACACCACACACACACACACCACAAAACACCCCCACACACACACACACACACACACACACACACCACACACACAAACCCCACACACCCCCACACACACCACACACACACACCCCACACACACACCCCAAACACACACACCACAAAACACACCACCACACACAAAACACACACCACACACCAACCACACCCCACACACCACACACACCACACACACACACACACACACACACACACCACACACACACCACACACACACACCACAACACACCACACCCCACACCACACACACACAACCCCCCACACCAAAAAAACACACCCCCACACACACACCACACACAACCACACACAACACCACACACACCACACACACACCACACACACACCACAAAACACACACACACACACACACAACACCACCACACACACACACACACACACACACACACACACACCACACCCCACCACACACCCCACCACCACAACAAAAACCACACCACCCCACACACACCACAACAACCCCACCCCCCACACACACCACACACACACCACACACACACCACACACTCACCACCCCACACCCCACACACACACACCCCACACCCCACCACCAAAACACACACCACAACCCCACACACACCACACACACAACCACACACACACCACACACACAACACACACACACACACACACACACACCCCACACACACAACACACACACACACACAACCACACCCAAAACACCAAAACACACACACACACCACACACACACACAAAACCCCAAAACACACACACCACACACACACCAACACACACACACACACACACCACACCACACCACACCACCACCACACCACACACACCACACCCCACACACCCACCACACACCCACACACACACACACACACAAAACACACCACACCACCCCCCACCACACCCCACACACCACACACACACAACACACCCCCCACACCACACACAAACACACCACACACCACCACACACACACACCACACACACCCCCACCACACACCCCCACACACCCCACACAACCAAAAACACACCACACACACACCACCACACACACACACCACACACACACACCACCACACACACCACACACCACACCAAAAACACACACCCCACAC